GGATGTACGGGACGCAGTCCTCAAGCCATGCCCAGAACATGTCCTGGTTATCCTCACCTGGTGCCCACGCCGCAGCACACGGTATGAGCCGGGCGCGGATCATCATCAGGTGCCAGAAAGCAGGGTCTTCCTCGGGTTCGCCCCTATCTCGCATGGGAGTGGTGGGACCCGTAGGGCAATAGCGGGGCACAGCAGCGGGGCTGAAGCCGCCACTGTGTGCCTGGCCAATACTGCACGGACTCGCGGCAGCGGTGCCGTTGACGATCGGATCCAAGATGGTGTAGTGGTCGTACTTGTAGATGCTGTCATCGTAGAGGTAGAAAAGGGACGCACGTTCGACGTGCTGCAGAAGAAACCCACCTCCATGCTGGGGCGCACCGCCTGAAGACGGGTGTGCTCCAGCGAGCGAGGGGAGGGCCAGGCTGAAAGCAAATCGCCACATGATGGCGAGGCCTGGCAGGCGGCGCGAGCGATGAGCCAAAAGCTGCATGTCAGCACGCATCTTTAGGTACCCCTGCATGCTCATGTACATTGCAACAAACACTCCCACAGCAAGATGACAGGTGTCCCTACACCAGGTAGCTTGCTCGTGCTGCTGCCAAAAATGACATGATATAGCAAGGAGGAAGTACGGCGAGAAGTGAGAAGGGATGCCTCTGAAGGCGCTTCCTCGGAGGGCTGAGGCGGGCCCTCTGAGGCACCTTCAATAGGGTTCCTGTGTGGCCCGCCCTTTGTCTTTGCCTTTGTCAGCCCCTGGGGGCCCCGTCCCTGGGGTGACCTGGCCTGGCTGGTCGATCCACCCGCAGACAGCCACGGGGTCAGCAACTGGTGCAGCTTCCTCCTTTTTGGTATCGAGGGTGGCCACCTGGGGCAGGTGGATGGTACCCCCCGTGAGGTGCCCGAGGAGGGCCTGGATGTCGCCGCGCAGTGCAGCAGCTTCGGTAGTTGCCGTCTGTTGCTGAGTGACGACGGTGGCAAGCCCTCGTACCAAGCCTGTAACGTGCTCCGTGAGTGTGGCCTGGGATGAGAGAACGCCCGCAAGCTGGACCTGCATGTTGTCCACCGTGTTGGCAAGCAGCTCGTGCTGTTGTTCCATGTGTTGGATGCGGGTCGTAGCGGCATCTGACAGTTTAGGGGCCGTAGCGAAGCGTTCGCCGAGGGTGTTCGGTTCGCGCGATGCCACGCTGAATTCGTCCTCTGATGAGAGGATCTCGACGTCGCCTGGTACCTCGGCGGCTGCGTCAACGTGCCCTTCCGTGTGGCCCCCACCTTCGGCCGCCCCCCTTGCCAGGATGCGGAGTCAAGACCGTCCCCCAACCTGTCCTTGGAACGCCGTCTGTGCTCGGCAGCTCCATACCATGTGCCGTGCGGGGAGTGGCAGGGAAAAGAAGAAAGACAAAAACAAAAAAAAAAAGGAATAAAAAAAAAGAAATGAAAAAAAAAACCAAAAAAAAGAAGAAAAAAAAAGAAAGAAAAAAATAAAACAAGAAGAAACGCGAGTAGGCACGGACAACGAGGCCCCGAACGAGGAGTGAAAACCCCGCTCTCCCCCCCACCCTCCCCCCACTGACCAAAAAAGCAGCTAGCCTTGAGCGCCGAGTGATCTAGGCGAAGTCGGCGGGACGTCACGTTTCCCGCAGGAGGATCGGTGGCGCTTGGCTGAAGGCTCCTCCTTGGGGATCAGGAGCGGTGCGACGCCCTTGCCTTTGGGCGTGGCAGTCATGAGGTCGTGGAGGTAAGGGCTCTGGGCCGCTTTGGTTAGGAGTGTGCCCGTGGCGGGGCTGAAGCCGCCACCACGGGCGGGCGGCGTCACAGGCTCTGTGATAGTGGTAGGGGTGACAATGGTAACGTTGTCCCTCTTCGGCACGACCTCAGCCAACGGGGCCTCGGTGATGCTCCACGGGATGGGGCACCCTGCGACCTGTACCGTATATGTGGGTGGGGACGATGAGCGCGCACTAAGGCAAACTGCGCCGAAGTGGCTGGGTCCCAGGCGGTGTGGTAGACCTCACAGTCCCATTTGACAGACGGGCCCGTGAGAGTCTTGGCAAGCTGAGTCAGCGTGGCATGGCGTGCCGCAATGCCCGTGATGCGGTATCGCGTCTTGGCGAGAGTGGCTTCGCAGCCACGGATGCTGACGGCAGCGGCCTTGGCGGCGTCTGACCCACGTGCAACACGGATCCCCAATAAGCCTGACTTGCCATGCCTGACGACTCCTAGAGCTTTGAAGTCCACCGACTTCTGGAACGCCTCTGCCATCGTGATGGGCTGGTCCTCGGGGAACCACACGGTCTGGTACTTGTCTGCCGTGGGCTCGTCCGCACCTACGTTGCTGAGGTCGTAGGTGGCGCCGAGTTGCCCCGAACCCGCCAATACCTTGTCAACTGCTTGAAGACTGACGCCGAAAGTGGCAGCCAGGGACCTTTTTCCGACGCCAGATCCGTACCTGCCTAGACTTTTGCAGGGTTCGAGGATAGTGACGGCTTTAAAGTTGCCGTGGAAAAGGGCCTTGAAGGTGTCTTGCAGCTGACTGTCGAGCTCCTGGCGGCGAGCGTCTTACTTAGACTCCCTGTGCTTTTGGTTTTGGCGCGCCTTGTCCTGTGGAGCGGAATCCCCTCGGAAAGGACCCTTGGCGCGTGGACCACCGTTCACGGGGGCGCCTCCCGAAACCTGATCCTCGAAGGCCTGATGCATGGAGGGGACTGCGGCGATGGCTTCGGTTTCATGTATGGTCACCCGAATCCAGCATACGTGGTCGGCAGGATCAATGGTGGCGACGGCTACTTTTTCCGTGCAGGCGACTTCCTTGGTGCCCAGCTGGTACACGGTCACGGGGACGTGCGTGTGAACCACAATGGGCGCCTTGGGGTGGCGCTTCAGCACGGGGACGGCGAGCTCGGTGCCGACGTAGTTGTCGTTTTTTGGGCCCATGACAGCGATCGCGAGCTGACCCGTGGTACGCTTACCCTGCACGAGATGGTGCTGCAGCAGCCGCTCGCCACTCTCGTAGTCGTGGAGGCTGATGCTGGGCTTGTACGTCTTGCCGTCGTCGAGTGATGTGGGTTCGGCCAGGACTGGGACCTTCCAGAAGGCCGGGCCCAAGGCAATAAATTTGGCGTCCGCAGCCTGAAGACGTGCGGACGCAGCTGGTGGATAGGATGTGTCACCACCATTGCGCTTAGGCTTGCTGCGCTGGTGGTGATCCAGCGTGTAGCTGATCTGGTTGGCGGCACACATGCGAATCAAAGCACTGCCGAGCTTCTTGGTGTTGGTCTTGTGCATGTCGTACGTGGCCTGCAGCTCGTCCGCGTTCAGCTCGGCGAGCCCGTTGTATGCGGCTGTGGGGCGGTCAGACCCCGCTTGCTTGAAGGCTGCAATGCAGTCCTGTTTGCGTTGGAGGAGGGATCCTTCAGCTGCAGGACGTGAGCTCGGCGGCTGCTTGGAAGAGCGACGGCGCTCCGGCTTGGCGGGGGCCATTGCGGCGGGCGCTCTGGTGGGAGGGAGGATGGGGCGCAAATCAGTGCCGCGCTGCTGGCGCGGTTCCGGTCTCGCGAGGCCTGGAGTCGGGACTCCAGAGCGGGGCGCTTCGCCGTCCGATAAAAAAAACCGGTCCCCCGTATGAGTGCAAAGGCAACTCCTCGAGCCGAGACTAGAGAGAGATAATATAGAGAGAAGGAAGAGGAGAGAGAGAGAAGAGAGAGAGAGAGAGAAGAAGAAAGAGAAGAGAGAGAAGGAGAGAGAAGAAGGAGAGAGAGAGAGAGAGAGAGAGAGAGAGAGAGAGAGAGAAGAGAGAGAGAGAGAAGAGATAGAGAGAGAGAGAGATAGAGAGAGAGAAGAAAAAAAAAAAAGGAGAGAGAGAAGAGGAGAGAGAGGAGAAGAGAGAGAGAGAATAAGAGAGAGAGAGGAGAGAGAGAAAAGAGAGAGAGAGAGAGAGATGAGAGAGGAGAGAGAGAGAGAGCGAGAGAAAAGGGAAAAAAAAGAAAGAGAAGGGAGAAAGAAATAAAGAAAGAGACAGAGAGAGAGAGAGAGAGAGAGAGAGAGAGAGAGAGAGAGAGATAGAGAGAGAGAGAGAGACGGAGAGACGGAGAGACGGAGAGACGGAGAGATGGAGAGACGGAAAGACGGAGTGGGGGGGAGTGGGAGGGAGGGGTGGATGGAGGGGGGGGGGGGAGAGGGAGAAAGATAATCAGACATTAACATCAATCATGGTTCGATAAGCGACGAGAGCGAGGGGCGAGGTAGGGTCAGAAAAGGTGGCGGGGAAGGGGGCGGAGGGGGAGAGGCGGAAGAGGGAGGCAACGCAGGAGGGAGGCATGGCAGGAGGGAAGCCGTGAGTTTGTGAGTTTGGGGAGGGGTGCGGGACGAGGGCGAAAGAGGGACGACGCCCCACCGTCTGGCCTCCAAGTGCGAGCGCAGGGCCTGCCCCCGGGAGGTGGAGATGTCGGGGTTCCTCAGGAGGACCAAGAGCGCGTACGTGGCGATGATGCCTGGCACGGATGGGGGGGGGCAGGGGCGAGAGCGTGGACGATGGGCAGGATGGCGAAATGAAACAACGGTGGAGTCGGGAGGCCATCGAGGGATCAGGGGTGGAAAATGCCGCATGCATGACAGAACAGAGGAGGGCGAAGAGGGTGAAGAGAGGAAGAATGAGGGATGGATGAAGAAGAGGGAGCGCGACGGGTAGCCAAGGAAGGGGCATCGAACGATCTTGCCAACACCCTCCGTCTACCTGGCTCGGCCCCCGCTCACTCCAACCCGGCTCCCCTCGAACCCATCCTCGGGCCCCCCATCTCCTCCTCCTCCTCCTCCTCCTCCTCCTCCTCCTCCTCCTCCTCCTCCTCCTCCTCCCCCCTCCTTATCCTCATCCTCCTCCTTCTCCTCCTCCTTCTCCTCACCCACATCCTCCTCTCGCCCCTCCCATGTTCAGCCACGGGCCACGAGCCAATGACACCATCGCTTTCCTCGGCCCTCGCTCTCGCGCTCGGCAGGGGCAGCCCAACCTCTGATCGTACCCACCTGCGTGTTGCACGTTGTGAAGAGCTCCGCCGCGTTGTCGACGGTCTCGTAGAAGTTCTCATTGCCGAGGCGCTTGCTGATGGACTGAATGTCTGCCATGCCTTTCTCCAGCTCCTTCTGCCAGTTGGCGAAAGCGTCGCTGCTCGTGCTTTTAGTGTCCAAATGCTTCGTGAAGATCAGCTCGTTCTTCACCTGGGGCACTTTGGCGATGCGCCCCTCGGTCTCCCTGCTCGCTCTGGCGAGCTTCTCGATATGTGGCTTCAGCCTGGCCTCAGCCCCAGCCCTGTATGTCTCCCGGGCCTTCGCGACGAACTCCTCGCACTTGGATCTCCACTCCTCGGGTACGCCGCAACTGTCCTCCACCAGGTTCACGCTGTCGCACAGGCTCTTCAAGTGCGCTTCCGTCTCACGCACCTTGGCCTTCTCGAAAACGGCGTTGCCCTTGAGCCCCTGCATGCCGACCAGCAACGCCCGCTGCGCATCGCACGCCGAGCGAACAGCCTTCGCCTTGGCCAAGAGCTCCTGCGACGCCTTGCCAGCAGATAAGCCCTTCTCAAACTCCGCCTTCGTGCATGGCTCGGCCCCCTGCGCAATGGCAGCGTCCACCTCCCGCTTTATGATGGTCTCGACTGCAGCAGCGCCCTTGCTCTGCACCCCGGCCGAGTACTCGTGGGCCTCACCCACGCACTTGTCCATGAATGTCTTGACGAGCCCCGCGTCCACCTGAGCTAGGGAGGGGGCAGCGATGCGCCATGCTCTAACCCCGCACCTCCCCCCGCCCCCACCACCCACCCCAACGCCTTCCCCCCCCCATTGCATGCCTGCACCCACCACCTCGCAATCTCAAAGAGCATCGAGGTTGCCGGGGAGGGGCGAAGGCGATCAACGACACTCAGGCAGACTGGCCCCGAGGCCATCCCGGCGACGCCCGCGAGCAGATCAGGCGAGCCCGCAGCGAACAGACGGACCGACATGGCAGCTCGAATGGGCGAGAGCCCCACCTCGAAAGGGCTGAACTCTTCGGCCTTCATCTTCGCATTGATGATCGTGGACCCGCGAGGGACTGCTTCGGGCATCGTGGCGATGGAAGCTACGGCCTGCCTCAGAGTGCTAGAAGTGCGTTGAGCAAGCGCACCGAACTTTTTGCTGAGGGCGCCGTTCTTGCCATTGGACACCGAAGCCACCCACTCTCTGGCTGCACCTTCGCCCCCCATGGCCGAGAGACAGAAACTGACGCCAACGCAGCCCGAGCTGTGGATAGAGAGGGGGAGAGAGAGAGAGAGAGAGAGAGAGAGAGAGAGAGAGAGAGAGAGAAAAATAAAAATAAAGAGAGAGAGAGAGAGAGAGAGAGAGAGAGAGAGAGGAAGAGAGAGAGAGAGAGGGAGAGAGAGAGGGAGTGAGGGAGAGAGGGAGAAAGAGGATAGATGAAAGAGAGAGAGAGAGAGAGATCGCACACCAGCCTGCAGCCTGCTTCGTGTAGCATGGCTCTGAACAGCTCCAGGATACATGCCAAAAGCGGGCGCGTCCACGCCCCATGCAACCGCTGCAACGTGCCTCCTCAACCTCCTCCACCGTGCTACTTAGACATCACCCAGCCCCTCTTGTCACCGCCTCCTCCCTCCCCCACTCCTCCTGATCCTCCTTCGCCTCGTCCTCCCCCCAGCCCGCCGTGTCCGACCCTCTGCTCTTCGTGCTCCTCGTCTCTGTGGTCGCGCTCTTGCCCCCGAGGCAACGCCTGCCCCCCCCCCGGCGCCATCTTCCAGCTTGGCGAGCAGCTCGTCCAGCAGCGTCGGGGACTGGATCGCGCCGGCGCTCACCGCCTGGTGGACTGCCTGATGCGGGGCGGAGGGGGGAAGGCGATGCAGAAGACAAGGCATGGAGGGGGCGGGCTGGGCATAAAGCGAATAGCAAGTAAGGCATGCCAGGCCAGGGCAGTGCGGACGTTGAAAGGGCCAGCAGGTTTTGCACCAGTCTCCTCCATCGTCTGCTCGAGCAAGACCCTGGAGGAGGCCATCAGATGCTTCCCGAGGACGTCCTGGAACTGTGCAATGTGCTTGTCGCACTGTAAAGCGCAGGAGTGCGGCAATCCCTTCATCTGCCTCAACCTCGACAGCTCGCCATGGATTGATTGCATTTCCTGGGGCTCCGTTTTCCCGAACAAACTCGTGCCGTCCTTCGCCTTCACATCGTTCAGTCGATCGCATACGGCATTCAACTCCGATGCGAACGTTGCCTCGCCCTGCCGAAGCTCGCGCGTGGCGAGAGCGTGCGCTCGCAGTGCCTTCCCGAGGGTGGAGTGCGCCAGGAAGACCTGGACGGGCTTGCCGCTGCCAGCGCCAGTCTCCTGGCTGGCTCTGCGGCGCAGGTCAGGGATGGAGGCGGCTGCGGCATGGCGAATGCCGCTGGCACGTAGCGACGCAGATCGAGTCGCAGCCGAGGCGAGAGCAGTAGCGGCAGCAGCGGCGGCAGCGGCAGCAGCCGCAGCAGCAGCGGCGGTAAAAGCAGCGGCGGCGGGAAAGACACTATCACGGCCGGAAGGCGGCTCCTCCTCCAGGGCGTCCAACTTCTTCAGCGAGTCGTCCAGCTCCTGCAGGGGCGCGTACGACGCGCGCAGGATGCTCGCGGAAACCTGCGGGGCAGGCAGCGCCAGGGGCAGGGAAGGAGGGGCGAGGTGGATCGGGGGAAGGACGAAAGAGGGGGGGCGGAGGATGGACAAAGGAAGGGGATGGGGGCACTCAAAACTCTCAAGGACGTCGAGGAGGAAGGGACGGGAAGAGGAAGTAGAGGAAGCGGGGGATGGGGCAGCTACCCCCCCCCCCCCCCCCCCTCGTCGGCCCGACGCCCACTCAGAGTTTGCACCCGCTGATGGCCCGATGGGGCCTCGAGGATAATCGAATTTTAAATCCAATGGCCCATGTGGGCCCAGACGGCCCCACAACAATCCAAGTAAGCATCCAGCAAACCCAAGAGGGCTCAAACGCGAATGACGGCATGACCCAGGAGACCCCCGCAGCCCCGAGGGGGCCCAATGCCTTTACAATTTACACTACAGCACCCTACAAATCGGTTCAGTCTGCAGAATCCTCCTGCTCAAGGCGCCATGCGCCATGCTGCGGAGGTAAGTGGCGCGTCACTGGGAGGTGTCGCGCCACGTGCCCATGTCGGGTTCATGTGCCCGGTTGTCTGGCTGCGCCCATCCCCGGCCCCGACCATTCCCGGCCTGCATGTCCTCCACGATGCTCTTAGCCAAGAACGTCTCCTTGTTCGTTGCGGCGAGGACGGTATCAACGAACGTAGCGACCTCCTCCTTCTGCTTGGTCCCCTGCTTCCCCGTGTGGTCCTCAGGAATAGACTCGAGCATCCGGGCGGCGATCTGCTCGAGCGCGGACAAGCCGAACTCCCTGATCACACCGTCGTCGAGGCCAGACTCAGACAGCTGCTGGCACTCGGCGGAGTCGCTCGATAGCATATCACGCACATCTTGGTATTTGCCGAAGGACACGAGGATGTCGCCGCGGGCCCTGATGCACTCCGATCTCGCGAAGCTCGACAAGTGGGCGCCCGCCTCGTCGCACGCGGCGACCTTCGCCACAAAATCGTCTGACAGCGAACCCTTCCCACCGAGGCACTGGGCGAGGTCGCGAATGCTGGTTGCCACTTTGGAGAGCAGCTGAAACTTAGTCTTCTCGTCCTCGAGGGCACCAGGAAACTTGCTCTTGTCAATGCGCTTTATCTCGCCATTCGCCTGGCGCCCCGCCCCCTTTAGATCAGAAGGCGTCGTGGCAATGCTTGATCAGTGGGCACAAAAAACACACAAGGCGAAGCGACGACTTAGGACCTAACGCGGCGACGGCGATGACAAAAGCACGACCAGCTAACACCTTCCCGAGACCCCCAACGCGATGCCTCCAACTCTCCGAACACTCTCCGAACACTTCCAAGGGCCCGGCAAGTCAAAGGGCCCGTCGCCAAGTACAGACACCGACCTACTTCCGCGGCTTGCGAAACATGCAGTGTGTACACGTGCGTGCTATCGGACCCTACAACGGCTTGCTACACGAGTCAGCTAAGTGCCTGCGGGCCCAGCCTCACGACTCTCGCTTGTGGTTCAGACGCTCGGGATCACCAATGCACGCGCCTCTGGCAGCAATGCAAACGCATGCGCTGGACACGCGCGCATTAAACGCACACAAACAGAAAGGAAAAAAAGACAAAGACAGTCAGACAGGCTCCCAGGCACAAGCAACGGCATGAACGCACGCACTACCCCCTGAAATCCCGCCCTCGCCCCTCCTCGTTGATCAGCTTGATGGCCTTCTTGGCGGTCTCCTTCATCTTCTCCTGCATCTTGGTCTTGTCCTGGTCCGCCGACCCCTTCAGCTCGTCCGAGAACGCCTCGGTCAGGGGCGTCAGCTGCTGGTGCATCTCCGAGGCCGACTCGCATAACCCCTTCTTGAGACGCTCTGTTCGGCCATCCAGCGCAGCGACGGTTTGCCTCGCGGCCCCCGTCTCGCCAGACCGATCTGTCCTGGCGCTCTTTGCACTGGCTGGCGGCGACGGCGACGGCCGCGGCCGCGCGTGAGGACGACTGGCCGCGGGCAAGCCAGAGGACGGGACCGCAGCTGATGATGATGGTGCCGATCCTGATCTGCGAGGCGCTGCCGCCTGCTTCGCCGCGCCCCTGGCCTTGCCCGAAGCGCGCGGCCTCGCCCCGCCGAGCACCTTCAGGGCTGCGTCGCCATCATCGTGCTCATCAGGGGTGCCCGAGTCGTCGTCGCTGTCGCCCTTGAACGGGGTCTCGGCCTCGTCGTCATCGTCCTCATCCTCCTTGCTGCTGGCGGTTGCAGAGCCCCCGCTTCTCCCAAGAGACCTGAGCAAATCCATCATGTCATCACTCTTCATTGCTTTCTTTGCCGTGTCAGCACTCTGCTTGAGGAGGCGATCTGCAACGGCATTGTACTTTGTCTGCGCCTGGTTCTCGCTGATCACGTTCTTGCCATCTTCCACGTGCGTAAGTTTTTGCACTGCTTTTCGAGTGTAATCCCTGACTCGGTGGTGGCCCTCCTTGCCAATCCTCACCCAGACTCCAGTCTTCATCACGCCGTCGATCTCTTCCTCGACATACTTGGCCTCAGCGAGCTTCTTCGGGTCTGTCTCTTCTTTCTCGTGCGCATCCTTCTCGATGAACTCAAAATCCCTCAGCCAGTCGCGGCCCTGTTCCTGCACCGTCGCGACCGTCTGCGCGTCCTGGAGGCCCTTCTTGTCCCTGAGACGGGCGATGTCGGGATTATCATTCTTCCTGGCGATGTAATGCTTGAGGCTGCGGAGGAAAGGGCCGTTCAGCACGGGGTTCTCAGAGATCTTCTTATGGTAATTGGAAATGTTGCCGTGCTCGAGATGATAACCTCCGCCAGCAGGCGCGAACAATCAGCGCAAGAGTGCAATCGTGCCCGGCAGGAGCCGCAGGGGCACGAGGGCGTGGAGGGCGGGGAAGCGGCGGGGAGAAGGGCAGTGGGCGGCGGGACGAAAGGGGGAGATGCAAGGAGGGAGGGGTGAATAGAAATGAAGGGGAAAAGCACAAAACCTGGGGCCCTCCAGGGCGCCCCCCTGCGCCCACGGCGCCAACGACAGCGGCGAACGGATCAAGAGCGCCACGTGAGCTTTCAAGATGGCCCGATATGCATCCTGGATCCATTCTCACAGTCAAGCAGCCTCAATTGTAC